TTGTTGATGTTCTAGATAATATATCTGTAAGTTATAAAATACACAAACTATATACAAATTCAATCTTTTTCCTTACACAGATACACATTCAATTTTGGCAAAAGAATTCCAAGAATATTTACCGCCCATTTTTAATAAATATCACTGGAAATGGCTGCGATGTATTGGATAAAAAACGAAAGTCTATTTATGCGACAATTGCACTAAATATTCTGAAGGAGTTCACAAACGTTAACCATACATGTCCTTATAGAGTAATTATATTAAATATAATATTTTTGGATATCTTTCTAACAAATTTATGTATAGGGTCACATGTTCGCTAAAAATGGCTATATGAATCAACGTTTTATACCAGTTTCACCGCCCTCAGGCTTGTATAAACTAGTTTTTCGCTTATTTCATAGTTATAACTTTGAAGAATATGGAACTATTATTTTGTATATAGAAGTTAGTGATTAAAACAGAAATAATAAATAATTAATACCTTAAGGGGTTTTTAAATAAACACACACGATTTTTTTCTTTAATTCTTAAACTTTCTTTAAATTGAAGTTACAGTACCAACAAACAACATAAGTTTCACAAATCGATCTATCGATGTCTGTATGTTTTCTGTTATCTGTGTATTAAAAAAGAAACCTCAGTTAAAGCTGCAAATGAAAGCAAGATTATTATATCATATATATCAAAGTAATAGACTAGCATTGAGGGGAACAAACCAAAATATTGTTGGGTATGTTATGATGATGACTCAAGCACACTCCCTTGGAAAATGCAATTGACCAAAAAAACGATATTCCCGCAGTTTTGGAGGAATAGAATTAAAACATGACATTTCGCCACTCGAACAATGTTCAGTTTTCAGTACTAACTCGCCCAATATCGGATACACCCACTGTTGCGTTTTTGCAACATAGTCAGAATAAAGATTCACATACCAGAAAGTTTATGTGTTTTTAATTTTATTCATTATTTCTTTTTTTTTGTATTTTTTGAACTCTTAATATATTTATTATGATCATTTATAAAGCACTTAGGGTGCAAAGCAACATTAATGCAAATTTTGTACAGATAAAAATGGTTTGACTATGAACAACTTACACCTTCGTCTGTCAAGTATCTTGGATACTAAATGACCAACATTATCGTATCTTGATGCTGTTGGCATGTATGACTATTGAAAATACTTCTGATCCTCAGTTAGTAGCAAATGTTATGCTACTTCTACACAGAAGGCGGCTTGTGAAATAATTGTGTCCTTTTCAATATTTTTTTGAAAAATGCAATGGAGTTTTCAAGCGTTAACCATCGCTGTTCAAGTCCACTAGTTATGAGAGACCAGTACCATTGTTTCCCTCGAATTCTTATTCGGTAATTGTTTATAGCATTGTTAAAGATATCAACGCCATCCATTGTTTTATAATAATAATTTATAATGTTTGACATGCTAATATTATCCATTTTCTTCTCTTTTCTGAATTTGGTTCAATTTTCTTTGGTAGTTTGCATAGGAGAAGTTTTCATGTGGTTTGATACTACTGTAACTACAGAATTATCATTCCACCAACATAAATATACATTATTATCGGCGTTGTACACTATATCACTTGTTCATCGTGGATGCTTATATATGTTCTTTATAGAGCTTAGTTTTTCAGCCTTAGTTCGATTTTCGCGTATCGAAGCCGTTTTTATTTAGAAGAACAATCAGTTGGAATGATGTGAAGAGGTTATCGAATGTAAATATATGATTTTTCGATTTTTGTATTCTAGATAAAAGAGATAAGACTACCCGTTCTCCTAAAGTTATGAAAAAATAATAACAATAATATTTTAAAATTTTATAGTACAGTAAACACTCAGCAAGTAGCCCTCATATCAAGAAATAAAATTCGAATTTATAATTAGTTTACGTTCCAATCGGTTGCAATCGGTTACTTAGATAATCAAAAGCTCAATTTTAAAACTATTTAAAAAAATATTTTATTTGCAATCATTAAAATTAATTCACTGCATGATTTAATGAAAATTAATGTATATACAATTTCGTATTATATGAATTATTATTTAATTTTTAATTTTAGTTTCAGACTAAATTTTAGTGACTATTCCAAGTTCGATGGTACCATGGTACAAACACGTCTTATAATCTTGTGTGCAATCATTTCCTTACAGATATTCTTAGTATGTTTCAATTAACTATTAAAATAATAATAATTATAAAGTAATAATTAATAAAATTAATTTTTTTTAAATTTCGGTGTTACAGTGTACAACAACAAACGCCATGCGTTATAAAATAATCAACCTGGAATGTACATCAAATACAAAGTTTGTGATAAATGTTAAATGCAGGTTGAGAGCTATTAATAGGGACAAGTCTATAGTCAATATGAGTTGTGATATTGTTGATGTTCTAGATAATATATCTGTAAGTTACAAAATACACAAACTGAATATACTTTTACTTATTTTTTCCTTACACAGATACACATTCAAGTTTGGCAAAAGAACTCGATAAATATCTTCCGCCCATTTTTAATAAATATCACTGAGAATGCCTGCGACATTTTAGATAAAAAAAAAAGTATTGTCTACACGACAATATTATTAAATGTTCTGAAGGAGTTTACAAACGTTAACCATACATGTCCTTATAGAGTAATTTTATTAAATATAATATTTTTTCTATTTTTTTAACACATTTATGTACAGGGTCACATATTCGCTAAAAATGGCTATATGGATCAACGTTTTATACCAGTTTCACCACCCTCAGGCTTTTATAAACTAGTTTTTCGTTTATTTCATACTTATAGTTTAGAAGAATATGGATATGTTATTTTCCATATACAAGTCAGTGATTAAAACAAAAATAATAAATAATTGGTAATGTTAATTTTTTTTAATTCTAAATTGATATTTCGTTCTCATACTCATCGCACGAGTATGGTCCCAACATTAGAAACTTTTAGTCTGTCAAATACTTTAATTCAGCCTAAGAAACAAATAAATACTTGCTAATAAAATTATCTAGCTTTTGTTACACTATATCTGTATTCAATGATCGCATGGTTAGTAGATATTTTTTGTGGCAACACTTTTTCCTCTTCCGATCTACTACAAACTGTAATTTTTGTTACTAACGTTCTAGTAATTAATTTTAGTACATCATATAGCAAAGAAATTCGACTGTAAATATCATAACATTACTTGCCTTCATTTTTATAAATGAGAATTGTAGTGCTGTCTTTCCACACAGTAAAGTTGAACACTCAGAAGTTATTTTCACTTTTTTTTCGGATATGACTTATACCCTATTTTATGTTTTTCTTTAACTGTCCAATAGTGTTGATCCTTCAGTTGGCATTCTAAAAAAATATTTGTTAGAAAAATCCTCTGCTCAGCCGCTATACATACTTTAATGGAACAACCTGCTCATACGACAAAAATTTTGGATCGTAACTGGTAAACGAAGCTAGTTTGCTCTTTAGTTCTTTTATGGTGTAGACCGATCACATCATACAAGTACGTTCTTAATGACATCTTTAGTTCACCATTTAAAAATATTTCATTTGTAAAGTCAGTTTACTTAGACTAGAGGTATACCTGCATATAAAGTAGTTACTGTAATGGCAAATGTTTGCCTTTACTGTTTGCCTTTACTGGACAATTTATCTGCTCTTATAGGGACATTTACTGAAACCCTGTTCAGGTTAATCAATGACAGTAAAACCTCTCCAATATTAGCAAAGACATTGTTCTGTGTACCAGAAACGATATATCAAGAATCTACTTTAAAAATATAGTATGGAAACATGTAAACCGGTCTCAACTCCATTAGATGAAGATTTCAAAGTTATACATGGTGCAGGAAAAAAAGCTAACAAATGTCGTCACCAAACTTTGATTGGAGAATTAATGTATTTAGCTGTCTCTAATCGACCAGATATCATACACTCAGTAAGTAAGCTATCGCAAGTCAATGCAGAACCAGAAGTAGAGCACAAAAAAGCAGCAAAACACATTCTCCGTTACTTGTCAAAAACAATCGACTTAAAGCTACATTACAAATCCGATGGCGGAGATGCACATGGGTATGTTGATGCTAATTGGGGTTCAAATCCAATTGACAGAAAATCGTACTCGCGATATGTCTTTAAGTTAAGGGGTAGCCCAATTTCATGGGAATCGAAGAAGCAAGGTGTAACAGCGCTTAGTACAACTAAAGCAGTGATATAAGGAGACTGCTACTGGAACTTGGCTGTGGAAATGAAGATGATAGTTATTAGAGGCGACAATATTAGCTCCCAAAATTTAGCCAAAAATCCAGTATACCATGAACGAAAACATATTGGCATAAAATTCCATTATTTAAGAGAAAATAAATCCGCCATTTGGATCAACCAGAGTAGTGCTGTCCAAATTATTCGGATATTTTAAGAACCAAACTATTCGATTGTTTCATTAATCGGATAGCAACAAAGTTTCCGGAGTTGAAAAAAAATTGGAATTTTTGTAAAACTGAAGTAAAAAACTACTTTGCTTTCCTTTAAAATAGGTGAATGGCTTGGTCTGAATCCAACCTATTATATTATTAGTTATATTATTAATTACAAAGTATTTGTAATTGTTTGGTACAAAATCAGTATAGAAATAAATAAATCAATATTTTCAATAGTATTAAAATAAATATTATTGCAGATAAAGTAGCACCCAAATCGTTATATAGGGAAAAAACTATGATGATGATCCACAAAGTAGAATAAAATGTTCTTATTAATTAATAAATTCAATTTTATTCAATATAAACATTAACATAAATATTTTATTTGTTTTAATATTATTTAAAAGCAAAAAAAAACAAACTAACAAAATTTACTAACAAAAAATAAATTTATTGATGTTATTTCAATTCATGCTTTCATATAATATAAAGACTAAAATACTAAGAGTATTAATAATTATGGTATTAATAAAAAAATATTAAATATTATAGAATGCCAATATTGTAATACTTTTTTGTATAATAAACAATATCACCAATATAGCATATACCAATTAGCGAAAAATACTTATTTCACCTAAATGTAACTTTAACAAGGGTTTTTAGTGCATACCCTTATGAATACCACAAAATATATAAATATTTATTTTTCTAAATTTTTTAAATATACGTATGATTACTTTAATATAAATAAAACAAAAAATTCTTTAAAACCAAACCAAATTGTATAATTTTTTAATAATAATATAAAATACTTTTTAATAACAATGGTTAAGTACAATATTCGATAAGAGCAGTTTTTAGAGCAATCATTTAAATTATTTCAATAAATGATTTTTATCAAAATTACTTTATGCCTGATTTGGCACTTCATATTCTATTTTAATCCCAATTTTATTGGTTAAATCAAGTTTAATGAAGCCATGCTACTGATCCACCTAATCTTCGTGAGTACATTCGTACAAAATATATACAGTCATTTTGCAAGTTATCTCAAAATGTTTCATATCTAAATTAAATATAAATAATTTAATACCGTGTTTCCACTTGTTTTATTTAGACAGTTTTTCTCATTAAGACCACTAATGAAGATAATTTACTAAACAAAAAATATTCATATTAATGAGCTCATTACAAATAAATCAACTGATTTAATGTGAAAAATGCCGCATGCAACCCTTCCAATTTCATTAACATAAGTAGTTTTAGCTGTAATGGAAACAAGATACAATACAATTTATTTAATTTTTTTTTTTAATTTGCATTATAAATTAAGTAATATTGTATGTAAAGCAAATGCAAAGTATATAATAACGAAGCTATCAAATTTACGAAGCTATCAGTTCACCCTTTAAGTAATTACAATAAACAACCGCATAATGTGATCCCTAGCGATCACAAACCGATAAAAAAATTACTAGTTGAGGTATTAATTTAATAATGCTAGTTATTGTCAATATTTTAATAGACGTACCTAGGCATGGTGTCATATTTCATAGTGTCATTTCTTAAACATAAAAATAAGTAAGTAATAATATAATTAAACTACAAGACAATAAATCCAACTTAAAAAATATTTTGTTTCGTATAATATACAGTAAACTCTTAATTTTAACTAATATCCTATATATCGTATTCTCTAAATAACAAAAGATCAAATATTTGTAAATAATAAATATACCAGAACCATTCTCTCTAAATAACGATTGTTGTATGTAAATTGCTTTCGAAATAACGAATGATATATCTCCCGTTATACAGAGAATCGACAGTAATATAAAATTTAATAAAATTTTAATCAGTCCAAGCAGAGATATCAACCCAATTGTATAAATATTTTATAGAATGCATTCGAAATAATGAAAGAATTTGACATTGAATCTTTCGTTATACAGGTAATCGGCTGTAACACAAAATTTATTAAAATTTTGATCAATCTTGGCCAAGATATAAATCAAAAAATCAATAATAAAAATTTTACACCAAACTTTTTAATTATCGATGTATAATAATTTTTTACATGCGACTCTGCTTTATTTGCGCCTTAAATAGTTTTTAACTTAAGTACAATCTGAACTCACTGAACTTGATCATTTCATAAAAAATGGTGGCATCTTCTATCACTAATAGTAACATTTATTTAAATATCCAGACTGATATTTTTGTTGTTATTTATAAAAATCGTCAAATAACTGTCTAATAAAAAACTTGTGATACCTTAAATTTAGCAGAATCTAAATAATACAGTCTCAACAAACGACCGGGACCTAAAAGTAAGAAAAGATTTTTTCGAATAAAATCTTTCTTTTCTATCATTTCTATTATATCTGTATTCATAGGTGCTTCTACCAGCAAACGTAAAAACCCGACAAATAAAATATCTTTATCGACGCCTACATACAGTGTTATAGAACAAAGTATATATATCTTCTCTCCCAAGTAACAGAAATGATAACCCTGATGAAACTGCCGTCGAATCGTTCAAGGTAGACTTCACTCTAATGATACATATATCAACACCACACATCCAAAAGTTCTAGAAAATACAAAAATTTCCACACTATTTTAGAAGAGACGCAATAGAGCCAATTCTCACAAAAAAAAAATTTAAAATAGTGTAAAAATTATTAAGTCAACAGATTACTTAAAACTGCTCAGATAATTATAGCCTCACTAATATTAAAGCGAGGTTGGTATCACATTGATTACATTGTGGTGTATGCATTTTTTATATTACTAAAACAAACAATTAGTAATAACAAGTGACGCACTGTCTGGGTTTTCATTGAAAAATTTACTTTGAGCCACGA